CATTATATTTATTTTTGTTCTAATAAGCATTAAGTTACTTTTTTTTTTTTTCATTATTTATCTTTTTTTTTTAATACAATATTTAAATTATTATTTCATATATTAAATTATAAAATAGTCTATATTTTTATTATTATTATTATTTCTTATATAGTATAATTAAAATAAATTTTGCTTAAGGAATTATTTTTTCTTTAATTTTAATTTTTATATTATAGACTTTTTTTCGAACCGTTCACGAGAAAAAAAAAAAAAAAAAAAAAAAAAAAAAGAAAAGGGAAATGTAAAAATTACCAAATAATATCTTTCATTTTATTTTTTTTTTTTTTAATTTTGCGAAGTACAAATAATTAAATTAATAATTATTTATATAATGAAAAATTTTGAATTTTATATTTTTATAAATGAAACTTTATAATTTAATGATGTAACACTGATGAGTATCTATGCATGCAAAAATGTAAAAAGTACAATACAAATTCTCTTGCTCTTTTTTTGTATATATATATATATATATATATATATATATATTTAAAAAAAAAGAAAAATAAGATTTTAATTTATTTTTAACTAAAAAAAAAAAAGTAAAATAACAAATTATATATTTTTATTAATTAAAAATGTATATAACACAATTTATCTCTCCTTATATATCTTAGACGACATTTTCTAGAAATTTACTAGCCATAATTTCCACACAACTGTAAAAATTTACATAAATTTAAAGATATATATATATATATAAAAAAAAAAAAAAGAGAAAAAAATATAATTTTTCAAAAGATTTATTTTTATATTAAAATTTTTAAATAAATATGGTTTATAGTAATTAAAGAAATATATATATTTTTTTACACTGAAAAGTTCCACTTGTAAATATATTTCAGTGTGTAAAGGAAATTAAACACTAAAAAGAAAAAAAAAAAAAACTTGAAAAAAAACGGAAAATTTTTAAGAAAGAAAAAAAAAAAAACATGAATAATTCAGTGAAAAATTACTGTTAAAAATAAAAAGTAAAAAAATTAAAAATAACATAATAAAAATGTGTAATAAGGTTAATACCTAGTTTAATATTCAAAGTCCTGAGTGCCATTTTTTTTTTTTTTTTTTTTTTTAACGTCATGATATTTATAAAAAATAAAGCACATTTGTTTAAATATAATAATTTTTAACAAATTATATTATAAAAAAAGAAAAAATTAAATATTGTAATTTTTTTTTTTCTTTTATTTATATTTTTATAGAAAATAAATTAAATATAGAATTCATAGTTATTAAAAGCTATATTTCATATATTTCCTATATTTCATATATTTTATTTAATAAAAAAAAATGATATTTTTTTTAAAATTTAATATAGTTATATAATAAAAGGAAAAAATTATATTTCGTTTAATAAAAACATGTCTGTTCATATATTTATTAAAGCTAGTTGTATTTATTAAACTAGAAAAATGTAATAAAACCTAATCAAATACATTTTAAATTGTTTAACACCTTTTTTCTTTTTATTTATTAGAAATTAATTTTTAATATGCTTTTTTTTCTTGCATAAAAAATGTTAATTTATTAAATATAAAATTTAAAAAATAATGAACTTTTTAGTTACTTGATTTTTTTATATATTTAAAAAACTTTGCCTCATACAATTTTACATAATTTTTTTTTTTTGAACAACATTATATATTTTTTAATAATTTTTTTTTTTTACTTATTCTTTTTATTTAGCTTTATAAAACTAGGAAATTTTTAATTTATTTATATAAACATAAGTTAATATTCATTTTCTTTTAAGAATACATAGACAAAAAAATATATACATAGAAGTAAATTATAATTATTATTTATTAGGATAGCATTAACATATGCATTCTAATAATTTTTTTTTTTTTTTTTAATAATATAAATTAAAAAAGAATGAATAATCAAAACATTTTTCAGTATTCTTTTTTATTTAATTTTTGTTTTTTTTTTTTTTTTTTTCTGTAATTTTATAGTAAATTTCATTTAATAGAATAATGTCTTCCAATATTTAATAGACTTAGTAATTTTATTAATATTTAATAGATATAAAAGTTTTTTTTAGGAATATTTTTTTTTAAATACATATTATAAAAATATTCTATATATAAAATTTTTTAATAGAATAATTGCTTTTTTATTTTAAAATTCTCAGAAACGTATAATGAATTTTTTTTTTTTTTTGTTTATTTTAAAAGAATTAATATTAATATACTATTTTTGTATCTTTAATATTCTATAATTGTTTAGATAAATAAATGTAATATTCATATAATATTTTATAATTTTTTCATTTGTCTAAAATAAAATACTATATTAAAATGCGTTTTTTATATATTAGTTTATTTTTTTATTCATGTGTGACATATTTCCTATTATTTACAATATTAATAAGTAAAGTTTTCGCAAATAATGAAAACAAAAACCAGGAAAATGTGAAGAAAATTATAAGCGAATTACGATTTTTGCAAAAAGTAGAAGGTATATTAGAAAAAAGTAACATTGGTGTTTCTGATATTAATCCAGATGAAAATTCATATAACCCAGATAAAGATGCACCTAAACAGGAAATAGAAAAATTAAAATTGAACGATTATGAGGTACAACCAAATCATAGTTTAAGAAAAAACAAAACATCTGAGAAAGAAATAGATAATCAAAAAAAAGTATTGCGTTTAATTGTAAGTGAAAATCATTCTACAACTCCTTCATTTTTTGAAGAATCTCTTTTACAAGAAGATGTTATATCATTTATAGAGAGTAAAGGTAAACTCTCGAATTTATCAACTTTAAAATCTGTAATAATAGATTTAAATGATAATACAACAGATAGTGAATTAGAATCTTATATAACTATGTTAGAAAAGAAAGGAGCCTTAATTGAATCGGATAAATTAGTAGGTGCTGATAGTTTTGATTTAACCTCTTTTAAAGAAGCAATAAAAAGAGGAGAAGAAAATATAAATTTAAAAGATTTCGAAACATTTTTAGAGATAGAAGAAAAAGAAGATTACGATAAAAAATTTGAACCACTATATGTAAATGGCGACAAAAAAGAAGAAAGATCATATCATTTTAACGATGAATATAGAAATTTGCAGTGGGGATTAGATTTATCTCGTTTAGATGAAACACAAGAATTACTAAAACATAATCAATTAACTCGAACAAAAATATGTGTAGTAGACAGTGGTGTGGATTATGAACATCCAGATTTAAGAAAGAACATAGATATAAATTTAAAAGAGTTAAATGGCAAAGATGGAGTAGATGATGACAATAATGGGATTATTGATGATATATATGGTGCTAATTTTCTAAATAACAGTGGAGATCCAATGGATGATAATTATCATGGCACTCATGTTGCGGGTATTCTGTCAGCAGTTGGTAATAATAAGATAGGTGTAGTAGGAATTGATATGAACTCTAAAATAATTATATGTAAAGCTTTAGATAAAAACAAATTGGGAAGATTAGGTGATATGCTTAAATGTATTGATTATTGTATAAGAAGAAATGCAGATATTATAAATGGAAGTTTTTCCTTTGATGAGAATAGTAATATATTTAATTCTTCTGTTCAGTCTCTCAAAGAAAAAGGAATTTTATTTTTTGTATCTGCTAGTAATTGTAGTCATGCTAGAAATACTGAACCAGATATAACTAAATGTGATTTATCTGTGAATAAAAAATACCCACCAGTATTGTCAGTTGTTCACGATAATGTAATCGCTGTAGCGAACTTAAAAAAAAATTTATATAATAGATATTCTATATCTTTAAATTCCTTTTATAGTGATATTTATTGTCAAGTAGCAGCACCTGGAACTAATATTTATTCTACTACACCTTCTAATACTTATAGAAAACTTAATGGAACATCAATGGCTGCCCCTCATGTGGCTGCTATTGCTTCACTAATATATTCAATTAATCCTAATTTATCTTATAAAAAAGTTATACAAATATTGAAAAATTCTATAATTAAGCTTTCGTCATTAGAAGACAAAGTAGGCTGGGGAGGATATATTGACATTTATAACGCAGTTAAATTAGCTCTAAAAAGTAAAATACCCTATGTAAATTCTCAAATATCTTTTAAATGGAAAAAAAAAAAAAGAAAACAAAAAGATTAAAATTTGAATTAACATAATGTAAAACAAGGAAATAAAAGAAGATATGTTTTTTTTATAATCCAAGGTACCTATAATGAATAAATGTGGAAACATATATGCAATATTATAATGTTTATATATTATATGAAATGAAGAAATAAAATAAAATAACTAAATTTTTTTTAAAAATTATTTGTTCATTTAAGTATTAATAATATTTAAAGATTTTTTTTTTTTTTTTTTTTTATATGTTTGGGGAATATATTTTTATATAATTTTATATATAATTATTAAGTAAAAATGTATTCTTATATTCTATTTTTTTTCTTTTTTTTAATTTAAATAATCAAATTTTAATATATATTATTTTTTTGAAATATTTATAATATTTATATATATAATTTTTCAGAAATGCTCCTGGATACCCCATTTTTCATTATTATGATTATTCAACTACTACATTGTTCAATGCTTTTATTTTTAGGTATGTATATTAAGTTATTGCATACTTTAAAATCTATTTTTTCAAATGAACTATTTTCATTAATAAAAATGAAAAATTACATTTTCTTTTTTTTTTAAACCAACTTCATTGTTTCTATTTTTAAACATAGGCATATGGATGTTGTTTCTTTCTTTTACAATGTTGTAATTTATTCTTTATAAGTAGTATGTATTAATTTTATATTATTTTTCTTAGAAGAAAAAAATTCCATTTTATAATCTCTTTTCATCTTTTTCATATATAATTTAAGTACTCTTGGTATCTAGTCTTTTGTCATTACGAAAATGTTGATAAACAACAATATAAGTACTTATAAATAATATTTAGAATTAAATAAATACAAAAGAATTATTTAAAATATAATATCTAATTAAAACATAATTGTGATATATATTTAATATTTCTATTATGTTATTAATTTTTTTTTTTTTTAAATATTTTATACTTTTGTATTAAAAAGATATTTTTATATATTATATTATTTTTGCACATTATAGAAAATTGGATAATAATAAAAAGAAATTTGTTTACTTTTCTTTTATTTTTAATTATTCTAATTCCTGAATTTTTTTTAATATATAAAATGAAAAAAAAATAAAAAATGAATACAGAATATTATAAAAGTACCTATTTTACGAACAAAAAATTATAGATATATTATTATTTGAAATTTTTTCTTTTTTTTTTTAACAGTTTGTTAAATTTTAAAATTTATATCTAATATTAGATTTTGTTTTTTAAATTTTGACCTTATAATTTAAATAATCATTGATTTTATAGATAATATATATTTTTGTATGAATTCTAAAAAAGTTTTTCTCTTAAGTTACGTTTGGCATTCAAATGTATATTTATGTGCATTTATGTATATAAAAAGCGTAATAAAAAATGTGTGCTACTGTTAAGGTAAAGGCTTTGTTTAAATTACTTTGAAAATTTTAAAAAATTTGCGTGTAAAATAAAGATTTAAACTATTTTATTATCCTTTTAATATTATTTACATTTATTAGTTCATTGAAGTGTGTGTGTTCTAAAATATAGAACAATTTTTTTTTCTTTATAAACTATTTTACCATAAAAATATACGTTTTAAGTACATGTTTTAAAAAAAGAAAAGACTATATACATTAAAAAAAAAAAAAAAAAAAAAATGTTTTTCATTTGTATTAGACTTTACCTTTTAAAACAAATTACTGATATATATTAAAATTAAAATATAAAATAAATTTATAAAGAAAAAGTAGTTAATATATAAAATAAAATTTATAATTTCTATTTAATAGTATGAACTTCACTTTATGTATATTATTTATCTTTTCTGTATATTTCTTTTTTTTTATAAACAAATTTTCTGGAGCAAATTTCACCTCAGTGAAACCTATATTTAATAAAATTATGATTGAGGAAAATAATTGGAAAAATAATAAAGATAATAATGTGTGTAGCAACAAACTAATATTAAAGATAATTAGAAGTGAAATAGGATATAATGAATTTCCTTCAAAAAGTTTACTGATGACTTCAAGATTAAATAATATAAAAAGACTTTTTGATGATTTCTCTAAAGATAAAAATTTATCAAAAATGATAGAGGATTGCGGAAATTATGTTTACTTAAAGTATGTCAAAACAATTATATTTAATCTTAATGAAAATGTTCAAATATTAAATTTAAAAAAATTTTTACAATTGCTTATAAATAAAGATGTATGTATAGAATTTAATAGTGATGTAGTACAATTTGTAGATTAACTATTTTGAAAATTAAAAGAAAAAATAATATATGTTTATAAATATATATATATAAATGACAAGTGATAAATGTATCTTTAAGTTTCATCCAAAAAAAAAAAAAAAATAAATAAATAAAATGAAACATATTAATAAAAAGTGATAAATAAAGTATAGAATAATTTTATAAAAAAAATAGCCTTTATTTCATAGTGAAAAACAGTTTTTAGGGATTATTAGACATTATATTAAATAAAACTATTTTATTTATGAATTAAAAATATTTTAATTTTTGATTCGTTACTGTAATTTTTTATTATTAAACTATCTTATATTTAAAATAAAGTAAATTCATTAAATGATATTTATATCATCTGATTTCTCGTGGTATAATTTGTTTCATAATAATATTTTTTTTTTTTTTTTTTTCTATTAGTAATTTGTAATTGATATTTGTTTTTCTTTAAAATGTAATATACTTCTTTTTAAAGAATTTTGTAAACTTTTTAAAAATAAGATTAAAATTGTAAGCATTAATAATGAGAACTTTTAAAAGATATATATATATATATATATACATAATAATTAGCTATTTTTCAGTGCAAAATCATAGAATTTCTCATAATTTTAAACAAGCTAAAATAATATAAATGAAAACTATCACTTAAGAAGATATTAATTTAAAATTTTTTTTTTTAAAATTAATATTCTTTTTGAAAATATAATATTTTGATGAAAATGAAAATGACTTTAGAAGAAACTATAATAAATATATAAGAACTTTAATATTTATGTCAAAGATAATGTTCACAATATTTTTTTATCTAAATGTGATTTTTATTATTTCAAAAAAGTATATACAAAAGAAAAAATGAGTAATATATGCATTAGCTATTTAAAAAAAAATATAGAATTATTAAAGAATGCTTATATTGAGTGAATAGTTACATAATTTATTATCTTAAATGCTATATTTTTTTTCTTTTATACTTAATAAGAACCTTAAATACATATTCTATAGTAGGCCTAAGAATTTAATTTTGCTCATCTTTATATATATAAAAAAAATAATTAAAAAAACATAAAGTTTTAATTAACATTAAAAATATTATTTATTTTTTAGAATATATTATCTATTTAGAAAAATGTTAATTAGTTTTCTAAATGGAAATACAATTAAAAAAAGTTATATTCAAAAGTAATTGTAGTCTCGTATTTTTATTTTTTTATTCATTAAACAAATGTTATTTTAAATAAATATACATAGGATGTATTTATTCCATATAATATCATGTTAAGAATAAAATTTCATTATATTTAATTTTTTTGTTAACTATTCTTTTGTTCTATGATCTGTAGTATACAGTTGTATAAAGTTGAAATAGTTAAATTTTGGAGAAAAATATGTGTGCAATATTTGAAATAGAGAATATTTTTGAATAATTCTGTATTATCTCAACATTATTTTTTAGCTATTTTTTATAATGGTACAAAGGAATAGAAAAAAAAAAAAAAAAAAAAAAAAAAAAAAAATAGCTAAAATTTCATTTGATTATTTTTGCTGTAAAAATTATAGTTTAAATCTATTTTATTTTTCTTGTACCACATTATCAATTATTTAAAGTATTAAAATTTAATTTAATTTCTTTTCAAATTTATTTGATTATTAAAAATTTTTATAAAAACAACTTAAATTTAGACTTTTTTCAGTATATTTTAAAAATATATAAAAAAATTTTTTTAATTTTTTTTGTCTACATATGCTGACAATTTTTTCTTTTTATTAAATATTAATATCTTACAATACAGAATATATCATTTATAAAAATGTTCTTTTTTAATGAAAATTATATTTCACCAGTAGTGATATCAATTTTTTTTCTTGTTTTATTTACATTTAAGGACTTACATTTTTCAAATAATCATTCTCAAAAAAATGGGAAGCAAAGGTTTCTGTTTGAGAATTTAAATAAAGTTCTTCCGGAAAAATTGAATATTTATGACTATAATAATTTTCACATACCAAATTTTGTTGAAATAAAGTTAAAAAATAATAATAATCAAGATATAGAGAAAAGTAGTGATGAAAATGAAAAAAATTATGACTATAAAAAAAAATGCGAAGATAATAGTAAAAATCTTTTAAATAATATTTATAAAAAAATAAAAAAAATTTTCGGGGTTTCATCGTTTGACACAGAAGAATGTATAAATAATGAGAAACATAAAAAATTCAATGAAAATTTTAATTATTTTATTGAGAATAATTTATCAATTGGAATAACACCAGTTTGCTTAATTGACACAGGAATTAATACTAAAGATAGTTTAATAAAACATTTTTTAAAATATGAAAACAAAAATGAAGACTATGATCTTTCTTCATTTGAATTAGAAACTAATTATAATGCTCATTATGGAATTAATACAGAAATATGTAATGAATATAATTATTCATATTGTGAATCTTCAAATTTAGAAGATACTGATAACCATGGAACATATGTTGCTAATACAATAATTAAAAGTGAATTATTAAAAGAAAAAAAAGTATTTAAAAAAAGTACTAGGTTAGTAGCTTGCAAAGCTTTTGGAAGTAAGATGGATTCTCATTTAATACCATTAATTAAATGTTTAGAATATTGTAAAATGAAAAATGTAAAAATAATTCATGTAAGTTATAATATTTATGAAAAGAATGAAAAATTAATTGAAATTATGGATGACTTAGAAAAATCCCAAATAATAGTAGTATCTCCTACACATAATATATATAATAAAAAAACAAAAAGCAAAAACAACGATGATGAATATAATAAAAAAAGATTTTATCCATCATCTTTTTCTGAAAAGTACGAAAATGTTTTTTCTATTGGAGCTTTAAAATATTCTCAAGAATTTAAGAGCGATAAAATAAAGGCAATATTACTAAATAATGACGATAAAAAAGTATTAAATATGGAAAATACAACTTTATTTAATTTTACATATAGAACAAATTTATCTGAAAAAAAAGATTCAGATATAGAATATTCCTCTAATTATGCTTCAGCATCTTTTGTTAATACTTTAATAATTATGCTAAATATAAATCCCAAATTATCTATAAGTAAAATAAGAGATATTTTAAAAAAATCAATAGTCGTTGAAAATGATCTAAAACCGCTATCAAACTGGGGGGGTTACATTAACGTATCCAGAGTAATTAATGACTCATTAAAAGATAGAAAAAAATTTTATAAATTATTTTATATGGATATATATAATGATAAACAACAGAGATTATATGACATGTATTCAACAATTGCACCAAACACTAGACTACTCTCAAAAGTAATGTATAAGAAAGCTAATGGTCAAATGGATTTAGATAAAACTTACGTAGATACTGATAATGACCTTATAGAATATAATGGAAGTAAATATATAACAAAAGAAAAAGAGAATAAATATGACAATCATAATGATAATTCATTAATGTTAGTAAATGATGAAGATATTGATTATAAAATATCATTAGACATTAAAAACGAAGACATTCCACAAAAAAGAAAAGATAAAAGTTCACTAAATATTGAAAATGAAGTAATAGATGATGATATAGACACATTTTCAAATGATTTTCAAAATTCTCAGAATGAAATGTTTTTTGATAATAGTGAAACATTTAATAACAATAAAAAGGTTTATGATTATAGCTCTGATAAAGACAAATACAACTTGAACGAAACATATTCTTATGGTGAAAATGCTTTCAATTATAATGATCCGTATGCCCATCCTTCTTACAATAGTTTTTTGCAGATGCCATATAATGATGAAATTCCATCAAGAAATGAAGAATATATGTATCAAAATTATGAAGATAATGATTATATATTTGATAATAATAATAAAAATAACGTTTACAAAAATAGTAATTATGAAAATATATATAGGAATTCTAATAATATAAATGAATTTAATAAAGATCAAGATTATGAAAATAATGAAAAATTCTATAATTATGCTTTACATGAATTAGATGAAAATGATGATTATAAATATAATAAGAATAATTATAAAGATGATAATTTATCTTTATTTAATCAAAATAACGATATAACAGAAGATTTATCTTCAAGGAAAAAAAGATATACACCATATTTAGAAGAATCAATAAATTATAGAATGGCACAACCTTATGTAGGAGAAATAGACGAACAGAACTATATATATACGAAGAAAAACAAATTAACAGATGAAAAATATAAAAATACTTCAAGATCTAAAAAAAATCCAAAAGTAAAAAAGAGAAATCAAAAAAGAGAAAAACTCTTATCAAAAAAGAATAAATCAAGGACAAGAAGTTTATCAAAAAAAGCAAAAGCAGAAACTGAAAAACCTAGAAAAATGACAAGAAAGAAGATAAAAAAGAGGCCAAAGAAAAAAAATATATCTATTGAAAGTAGACAAAAAAAATCCAAGAGAGTTCCTTTAAAAAAAAGAAGTTCACTAAAAAATAGACAAAAAAAGCTATCTAAGAGAGAATCAGAGTTAAAAAAAATCCCAAGTAAGTTACCAAGAAAGAAAGGACTTATAAAAAATACGTCAAACAAAAAACAACAAAAGAAATTTCGCAACAAGATATAAAAAACAATATAATTAAAATAAAAAAAAAAAGAGACATATGAATATTAGTGAGATATTTTATAAAAAGTAATTTTTAATTTAATGAAAAATACTTATTCAAATTAGTACCTTTTTTTTTTTTTTTTATAAATCCATGTAAAACAATTTTTTTTGTTAAATTATTAGTGCCTATACATTTCTATTTTATTAAATGAATATTATGTATTTATTTCTATTTATATAAATTGTATGTTAACTTTCAATTAAGTTTTTAAAAAAAATACATATTATTCTTTTTCTTAATTTCTTTTTAAATCACAAAAATTTTTTTTAATTTTTCTTACACAACACCATAAGATAATATACTTTCATATAAAATTAAACAAAATTGTAAGAAAAATGTATTTAAAAATACAGTTTTACATTTTAAATATAACTTAAATGAGTAATTTAATTTAAAAAGTACAAAATATATATATATATATATATATATATATATATATATATATAAGTGATTGATTCTATAATAATTGAGACTATTTAATTACTTTTTTGTATAATTATATTATATATTAAGAATGTTGATAGTTATATTGTGCTACTTGACATAATATATACTATAAAAATTTTAAAGACAAAAATCATCTTAATTTGTTGGCAATATATATATAAATTATATATAGATGCATATTAAATTAATATATAAGTATGAAAGTAGAACTAAAAAAACTCACAATATTTAAAGATATTCATATACTGTAAACAACATTACGTTTGTGTAAAAATAGTATAATGCAAATTATAAAATTTTTCCTTTATTTAATTTAAAAATGTATTCTTTTTGTTTATCCAACAAGATTTTCTACAAAATAAAATTCAAAAAAAAAAAAAAAAAATAAAAAATAAATAAATAAATAAATAAATAAGATAGCAAAGAAAGAATAGATTCATTTAAAAAATGTGTTTCCTGCTATACTGGATGTTTCAGATTCTTTTTTACTGGAAATTATAAGTCGTGTTGTCTTTCTTTAGAAATTATTCAAAAAATAATCGAGTTTTTCCAAAATAATATATTTAAAATATTATTGTTATGTGCATTTATACTTTTGCAATTTAAAGAAATTAAAATTAAAACGTACCGTTTTTAAATAAAAAATGGTTATTCTAAACTTTGTGGCAAATTAATTTTGATTTATAACTTATACACAACTTTAATAATGATGCATTGTAATTAATGGTATTTTTTTATTATATAAAAAGAGAGAAATGAAATTATAATAAATAATAATGACATATATAATTTTTCCAGTATTTTATTTCCATAATATTAATTTGTTTTTAATTTCAATATGAAATATTTATTATATGGAAATTGACACTTTTTTAGTATTGTGCATATAACATTTAAAATTATATAATTATGTAATGAATTGTTTATAATAATTAAAATGATAAAAGAAAATTTTTTTATACATTTGAGAAAATTGTTGCAGCATAAATCTAAATTAACTCTCCTTTTTTAATGGAGAAAATATTCGTGCATTTTAAAATATAATTAAATTTTTTTTTTTTTTGATTGTTTTTCTTTAGAATTATAAAATTGGAAATTTTTATGTAAATTTTTCTTTTTTATTTTTATGTATTGTTTACATGCATGAAATATATATATATATATATATATATATATATATATATTTCGCAATAGGATGATAAATAGACACTATTTATTTTTCTATTTTTTTATATATGTTCTCTTATGTAAAGTATTTTTTACAAATATAAGATATTTTAAGAATGATAAAAAGCTAAAGAATAGAAGAAATTTTGAAAATGATCTGTGGAATAATTTAAATATTATTAAAAATTATTATAAAAGAAGATTCCTACAGGAAACAAAAAATAATATATTACACCTGAAAAAACATATAAAAGAAAATCATGAGTCACAAATAAATATTTTACAATGGGAAAATAAGTCTAATAAGGAAAATATATATAAAAGAAATGAAAAAGATAATATAAGATTAAAAAAATTAATTATAAGTTTTAAAGATCATAATAATTTTTTAAGCTTGAGAATTTTCAAAAATAAGTTTATACATATTCTTTCATACTGTGGAAATGTAAAAAAGTTAGATTATATAAATTTTTATTTATATGATTTTTTTAAAGAATTAAGTGAAACCCATTTAAAAACATGTTTACATATATTAAAAAGTAAAATGATAAATATTGAAATGGATTATAAAATTAAGAACATTGAAGTAAAAACCATAAATACATCAGAAAAAATTATGAATGAACCATTTTATAGCCATTCGAAAAAATTATGTGATATGTTTAAATTAAATAATAATTCAAATTTTAAATTTTTCTTAAATAAAAAGTGCAACATGACTAATATACTAGATGGTTATGACGTAATTCAAGTAAAAGAAGCTATTGCATTAGCGAGACCATACGAATTAAATGATGTAAATGTGTGTATTGTTGATACAGGTATTGATCATAACCATGATGATTTAAAAGAAAATATTATAGAAATAAAAAAAATTAAAAGAAACATGGAAAAAAGTGATACTTCAAGCAGTGATATAGATAGTTCAATGGATAAACATGGACATGGTACATTTATAGCTGGAATTATAGCTGGTAATTCTCAAAACAATAAAGGTATAAAAGGAATTAGCAAGAAGGCTAAATTAATAATTTGCAAAGCCTTAAATGATAATAATACTGGCTATATAAGTGATATATTAGAATGTTTTAATTTTTGTGCTAAAAAAAAAGCTAAAATTATAAATGCAAGTTTCGCTAGCACAACTAATCACTTATCTTTATTTAATGCCTTAATGAAATTACAAGAAAAAAATATATTGGTTATAACATCATCTGGAAATTGTTCTGTAAGTAAATCAAAAAATTCTTTTCAACAATGCAATTTAGATATTAAAAAATTATATCCATCTGCTTACTCTTCAGAATTAAATAATTTGATTAGTGTATCAAATATGCTTCAACATCCAAATGGGAACATAATTTTGTCACCAGATTCTTGTTATAGTAACAATTATGTTCATCTAGCTGCTCCTGGAAGAAATATAAGATCAACTTTACCATATAATAAATATGCGGTAAGTAGTGGCTCTTCTTTTTCTGCTGCTATTATTACAGGATTTGCTTCTTTAGTGTTATCAATAAATTCAGAATTAACATACATTGAAGTTATTGAAAAATTTAAAAATTCTATAATACCATCAAAATCATTTAAAAATAAAGTTAAATGGGGTGGATTCATAAATGCATATAACTTAATTAAGTCTACCACAGAAAGCTTAAAACAAAATTAATGGGAATACATAATTCCTTAATGCTTAAATATTAAATATTATATGTATATAATTTTGTTAATTTTGTATATATTACTTTGAAAATATTAATATATTGTATTATAATTTAAATAAAATGGATTATATATATAAAATTATATATTAAATCTTTTTTTTTAAATATAAATTCACACATTAGTTTTTTTATTTTTGTTCTTAATATTATGTAATTAAAAAAAAAAATATATTTTTTTTTTTTTTTTTTTTTTGTATATTAAAATGAAAAAAATTTATTTATTAAACTATTTTATTGAAAAATTAATCAAACTAGCAACAATTTGTTTTTATTTTCAATGAAAATGGTTTTACTTTATTAAAAATAATTCTATAAATGATATTACAAATACAAAAGTTTAAAAAGTTTATATTATATAATTAAAGCATTAATACATCGTAGTTTTTATATATTTATTATAAAAAAAAAATTTTGATATTTCTTTTTTTTTTACTATATAATTAAAATTATAAAGAATATTATTGGCAACCAAAAAATTTTTTATTAGAACCTTTAACTCTATAATTTCTAATTGATAATTTATCATTTTTATTATTAATGATATTGTTTCTTTAATTTAGAAACTAATATTATATGTGTTATTATAGCTTATTTATTTTTCATAATTTCATATATTTCTAATCTTTTTAGATTTAATATTCTTATGTGAATTTAAAGAATTTTTTATATATAATGGATTTTTATTATCTTTTTTTTTTTTTTTTTTTTTTTAATTTTAATTATGTTTTTAATTGTAGGATAATGCATGCCTTAAAAATTTTTATTTTTCTTTTTAAACTTTTATTTTTATATTATAAGAATATGTTAAAAAAAGAAAAATTAACATACAAAAACAAAAGGAAATTATTATTATTTTATCATATGTATTTTCTAATTTTTTTTTTTTTATATAGATGAAACATAGCAAAAATATATATACAATTTAAGGATAAAAATATTGTTCAAACTTCTAACTTTTTGCTTTTCTAATATTTTCTATATACTTAATTACACTTCATTAAAAGAAAATACAAATCTATCAAAAATAAAATGTTGTATATTATATAGATTACATGTGTATTAAATTATTTAAATATTTTTTTTTTTAATACAAATTATTTTAAGAAAATAGTGTATTTTTTTTTTTTGTATATATATCTTCATAAAAAATGTACGTTGTTAAATATAGTTATAAATATATGCTTACTTACATTTTATAAAAAGCATACTATATATTTTTAGAAATAAAAATTTTAACTTTTTTTTATAATAATAAAAATGTAAAAATAAATATAACAAAAAAAAAATAAAAAAAAATGCAACATTTATATTTTAAAAAAAAATTTCACTGTATATATAATTTTTACATATAGAGAAAAAACCCTTTTAATCACCCTTTTTTTAACAAAAAAAAAAAAAAAAAAAAATAAAATAAAATAAATGAACAATTATATAAAAAAAAAAAAAATAATAGTTTAGGTGTTAAAATTTTTCCTTAAAATTAAAAAAAAAAAAAATTATTGTTTTTTTTAAAAATTTGTAAATGTTAAATGATGATAAATGAAAATAACAATTGAAAAAGAAAAAGAATTTTTTTAATTCAAAAATTATATGTATATAATTTTTATAAAATATAAAAAAAATTGGTATAGGGAGGAATGATTTTTTTTTTTATAAGAGAAGAAAAAAAGAACATAATAATTTAATATATATTTATTATCCCCATAATAAAGTAATAATATAATTTTAATAAATTTACGTAGAATAAGAAAATAAATGTACAAATATTTGTATATAAATTTTAATAAATTTTAATAAATTTTTTTTTATATTATAATATACACAAATTTACTATTATGTAATTTCATAAATTAATAAAAAAAAAATAACAATGTAAGTTTTAGCTTATAAATATTTCATTGAAAATAATTAAGTATATATTTACATAAATATTTATTTTTATGAAAAAAAAAAAAAAAAAAAAAATATAGAAAAATAATAGTTATCCTATTTATTTATTTGTTTATTCATTTATTTATCATTATTATTTAAAAAAAAAAAATAAAATAAAAAAGGCTTTATTATTATTTTTTTTTTTTTTTAAATTTTAACATTAATATAAATAGATAAATAAATATATGTTTTTATATATATATGAAATATTTGTAATTTTTTTTTCTTTTTTTTTTTTTTGTAGTTTTCTAAATTTTTTTTTTTTTTTTTTTA